AGAGGGCATCGGTATAGCTCCTATATCAGCATGCTGTTCTTGTTCTACCTCTGTATGGACACGCAGTAACTGACAATCTAAATATTATCAAAAAATGCAGCAAAGATGAAAGAAATTCACAGAAAGGATCCAAAATTTCGAGAGATTCCTACTATTAACTCCTACTATAAATTGGAATGTGGATTTTAAGATACTGATAGCTTCTGTGGAGGACTATGCCAGACAATGGACAACACGAGAGTTGATAGATTATGTGAAGGACTATGTCAGACAATGGACAACAGGAGAGCTGATAGATTATGTGGAGGACTATGCCAGACAATGGACAACACGAGAGCTGATAGATTCTGTGGAGGACTTCCCCAGACAATGGACAACACGAGAGTTGATAGATTCTATGGAGGACTATGCCAGACAATGGACAAACCGAGAGCTGATAGATTCTGTGGAGGACTATGTCAGACAATGGACAACACGAGAGTTGATAGATTCTGTGGAGGACTTCCCCAGACAATGGACAACACGAGAGTTGATAGATTCTGTGGAGGACTATGCCAGACAATGGACAACACGAGAGCTGATAGATTCTGTGGAGGACTATGCCAGACAATGGACAACAGGAGAGCTGATAGATTCTGTGGAGGATTATGCCAGACAATGGACAACACGAGAGCATACTGAGTTGGTTACTCTCAGAATGACTACATCCATCAGGTTTAGCATACAAATAAGAAGATGCAGCCTGAAATCCAGATGGACTCAGATGGCCAAACCACTCTCAACATTCTGCATGCTGAGTATGTAGTTGTGTCGGCAAAAACAGCATGTACGATCTTTACCCGTGCCTGTAATCATTATTACATTTCCTGCTTACAAAAGAAAAAGACTTGTTTTATAACAAAGGAAACCCTATATATACATTTTCAATTTTGGAGAAAGACAATTAGCTAACCACGCTTCTGTACTATATATTGTTCAATAAATAATATTCCCGCAAACTGGAGTGTTTATCTCATAGCCTGACCGACAGGAAAACTTTTCCTTCAATGTTTAGGATTCCGAAACATCACAAGAACCCATATAAACTTTCGTATCGTTGGCTCAACCAAGTATAAACAATGTTTTATCGCTGAGTTGTATAACCAATCATTTATAGCTACGTCCGTGATAGATGTTGACTGGTGACTGATTAACTCACAACACAATGTTTTCTAACATGCAGGTTGAGGAAGACTATGAACACCTTTTATGATCAACATCAGGATTCCATTGTGAAATAGGACTATTTTTCTTGTATGAGATTAAGTTCGATGATATTATTGTGTCCGTAAGTGTGCCTTGTTGTTTCATCGCCACTATCCCGTTCTCTCTATTTGTCACCAGTATAAGTATGTTTGTATTATCTACACTAGTGTGTATTTATTCATAGAGAACTACTCTATCATAATTTATAATAACAACACCGATACATTTATATTTACAGTAAAACTATTATAGCATGTATACTTTAACACGAATTTAACTTGTTTATGCATTTTGACCCGCCATTCTAGTTCAACAGAATCATTATCATGTTCTCGCTCAAACAATGGCGCTAAAAAGGCCGTGTGTAGATCTCCGCTAGTCGTTAGCATTGTTTCATCAGTTATCAGTTCTTAATTACAGTATAAGGCTCGAATTTCCAATGTCAGAAGGCATGGTTGCAGACGATTAGTCAAGTGTGACAAAAAGGTGTTGAGAAAAAAGTAGTACCTTGTGTATGACGTCATCAAAATATGGTCTCATATTATCGGTCTATCACGTGATAGACTGTGAAAACAAACCAATGAAAAAGAGTGTTACAAACAATTATAATGATTCAAATGATTAGACTAGATAATAGTTAGATCTGTCGATGTATAGACCGAAAATCGAGGTGCATTCTGGTTATAATTTTGTTTAAAGTATCAACTTTATCCATCCATATATAGTTACAATAACATAAGTATTTTATGCCAACCTATTGATACCAATATATTTACATTTGCTCTATATTGCCACTATATAACACTATCAAGGCCAGTTCCGTGTTATGAGACCATAACACAGGCGTACAATCTACAATATACAACCCTGTTCCGTGTTATAGGACTATAACACGGAACAGAATGCTGTTTAATGCATAAACAAGTATGCGCACTACATACCATTTAGAACAATTTGTGACTTTTCCTGATATATAGACACTTTTTTACTCTAAACTTAACAGATATTTATGCACAAGATAGCTCCCGGGGAGAGCTACCCAGCAGCCTTCTGAGAGGGAGATAGGCCTAGTTGTGTTCAGCCTTCTGAGAGGGAGATAGGCCTAGTTGTGTTCAGCCTTCTGAGAGGGAGATAGGCCTAGTTGTGTGCAGCCATCTAACAAGGGATTATGTTAAAGTTACGTGACTAAACTAGGATGCCATAGGTGGTCACTTTCCATGTTAATTACCTTCCGGCATTCAATTTTTGGCCTGGCAATTTAGTGGTGGAGCGGTTTTTTGAGTAAAACGGAAGAATAATAATAATGGTAATCTCGTAATACAATAGTACAGATCTTACTGATTTACAAAGGCAATTACTATTTAAGAGTAATTGGATCATTTTTTATTTCTATTTAAAAAATGTAAAACTTATATCTACAGATGTCCTGGTAATCTAAATAATACACAAATGCATATATTGAGATTACTGAAAGGCATCAAGGTTAATCATTAATGTGAATTATTACTTGATTTTAAATGAAAACGTTAAATTAGTTTTCGGTTGGCAACAGAAATGCAACAATGCCATTACTTTTTTTGTTTCATTATCATAATGCTAATATTGTAACACGTGACAAACAATGCATAATGGTTTACTGTTTTATTATCTTAAAGAAAAGTCTCTTCAAACTTCGATTGAATATGTTTAAGTTAAGAACCACATTCTAAACACTGGATAAAAAAAAAAGTGAATAGAAAAGCCTTGAAATATTGTTAATAACGATTAATCCAATAACAACATAATTGAATAATCGGAATAAGATCCATCTGTTTGGTAGGAATAATAAAAGCTTAGTTTATTTTAAACACAAACAGTAATTGAAAATTTATTTTGCGAATAAAATATTTACTCATTTTTACCCATTTAAACATGTAACCCGTTCCCCCGACTGCCTGCAGTATCCGAGTGCTATGTGGAGTATATAGTCTCTCCATGATTTTTGACAGCTGACTTTACTGATACAGCCCACTGTGGCTTAGTGAGTTGTTTTCAGCGGTTTAGAGTCCAGACACCGGTCATTTAACTCTTTGATTGACAAATGAAACAGACATTTTGGAAAGCTCGCAAAATAAGTTTTCAATTCCTGTTTATGTTTAAAACAAAGTTATTCTTTATTATTGAATACTGAAACAATTACGTTTCTTTATTCTTTGTTTGCCGTAAATAATTGCTGTCAGGAGCCCTTGTTCTACAAGGTTTTTTTTTTTAGATAAAGATTTGTTAGCGGTAAGACTAATCGTAGAATTTAACTTGTAACAATAAACACTTCAGACAGCATAAACTCGAAACTATGGTTACAATATGTCGCTGATTGTTTTATCGTATAGACACAATAATAATTATAATAAACGAAATGTATCACAAAAAGCATTGTCTATAGATTTAAAAATGAGGTGTTGTAATTATAGGGTACAAGGAAGATTATTTACGGGACTAGCTGAGGGTCAAGGTAACGATACTAGATACAAGAAGCTTTATAAAAAGTCATACATATCAACATGGAACATTAGCTATTGAGAGCTATTATTCAACAAACACAAGTTAATAATATATCAATACTATAATGTAATGGTAGTAATGAGTTATATATATTATCACAGACAATTTCTTTTACATTTACAGAATAAGCACACTGCAGTTTCACATGAATGAGATTTGATGAATTTCTAATGAAATGGTCGCCCTTTTCCCGATTGTTTATCTTCATTATAACATAAGTTTTACGTCATGTTTTCTATAAAGAACCTCTACAGACGTATAGCCAAAGTTTCATCTGGCCCTGATAACAGACTTAGACATTTTAACAGTTCCACACTAGACATCTATTTGTCAAAATGTCTAAGTCTGGTGTCAGAGCCAGAGGAAACTCAGGCTACATAAACATACTTCAAACGGTTTAACATTGGCTTACTTAGTTGGGGTTTCGCTGTTACTATACAAAAGGACAATTAAAAAGGAGTTATTTAAGATTTTCTACGAGAGTAATATTGTTTATTGTGAGTTACTTTGACATCGCGTAAAATCGAAAGCGGTTGACCGATCCCCAATTGCTATAAATAAATGGTAGACAAAGACATTTAAACATTAGCGTTTAAAGATGCTTAAGTTATAATATCTGGCCCCGTACTTCATTTCTGCTGGAAAAAAGGGACCAACATATCTTGTATGATGTATAAAATTTATGATGAAATTGACACAGAGTATTTTATAAATGCCTTACATATGATTCGCAATTACTCCGAAGCCTTTGTTTTACTCCGATTTTAATTCGCTAACTTAAACCGTTAAACAATATCATTTGACAAAACTGCGGATTTTTTGTTTCACCATTATCATCTGTTGACTTAAGCGTTGACAATCATTTTATAAAGCTACGCAACACTCGTTTCGCAATTGAAACCTGTCGACGCCAATATTTAACAATATGGTTTGATATAGCTACACGAATGTTCGCTTCACCATTGAAATATGTTGACCTTAAGCATTTAAACAAAATCACAAATATAATTCCCAAGCCATGTTTTATCTTGTCAACTGATGACTGAAATGTTGAACATAATTTAACAATACTACACTACTTAAGCTTCACAATAGTTATTCGTGGACTAAACTTCTTTCACAAGATAAAAATTGTCATTAACAATAAAAATGTTGAACATTGCTCCTGACAAAAAGTGACTGAAAAGTAACGCGAGATGACAAAGATAACGTACCTGTAAAGTCTGATGTCACGCGCCCCTAGCCTCCTCGGGTACAATAGCTGATCTGTGGGAACGTTAGCTTCTCCTGGACGCCTTTATATGTGCGATATCGTCATGTGCTGCAGCCAATATACGCAGGAGAAAATCGCGCGGCAAGCACGCGCTCTTCATCGGAAAGGGCGGAACATAATTATTAAAACGGAAATGTTGGCACCTGCGACATCATTTGATGACGTCACTCCGGATTAAACTCCCATATGGATATAAAACTCGCCTAGGTTCAAGACACATTGCGTCTTCTGGTCACTTGACATGATAATTACGGCTTTTAGTGGCGCGTTCAGTAAGGGTTACTGTAAATAACTTACACAGATACCCGAGAGATTTACTAATGCCTGATAATGTGAGAAGTGTACTATTACATGCTGTGTAAAATACCAGGGAATGAAGAGCTTAGCAGAGACATTTTTATGTGAAGAACATACTTTGTTTGCGTAAACACACATTTATTCCTAAAGGATTGAATATATTTAACAGAAGGTTTCTAATGGTAATGCGACAATGTTGAAAAACTGTTAACTTATTTTTTAAAAAGAAATCAAAAAAGAATATAATGGCTTTTTATCTGGGGTTTTAAAACGTTTGAAGCAAGCGGTGTTTAAGTGCTTTGCTCCCCACCCCACCAAGACTCACAAATTGGTACTTTCGGCCAAAGACAGCCTTCCCTATTGACACATTATGTAAGTATAATATTGGCTTAGCATTTGAGTAGGTTTTAAATCTGAATGAATTGCAATCAGTCGAACAGGAAACTGTCCATTAATGTAAAAAAAAATCTTATCAACAATCGTGGAAAAAATAAATACATAAATAATACGGACAGACAATCCTACAGATATTAAAACAGGACTGCTCCTTGTCACTACCGGTATGACGAGAGACAACGAGAGACGTTTTAATTATGTTAACATTGATTCTACTGAAATTTACAAAAATTTGGCATTGTATTACCATCCATAAGACAAGGGAATAGCCGAGCTACTTCAATGGGACGGGTCTAACATTTAATGATTTCTAAACATTCTAAAAGGCTCAAATGAACTATCCCGTATCCCGGAGTTTTTACCGATCCGTGATTTCAAATTAAATATTTGAATAATTAGAATACACACGTGTATTTCTCCAAATGGAAACACTTTAAAGTAAATTCAATCAGCTTGAATAAAATACAACATCAGACTTCAACTTTGTGGCGTGTCATCAATACAAAACTTTGGTAGAAATCAAGTTTTATTTGATTTAGACAATTTTAATGAGAAGTTAAAATCATATGAACAAAATCATGGACGGTTTTTCTTGTGTATTACCATGATAAGGTATTTCTGTTTCACAGCCCACCTTCATGTTTCCTTCAAAATTACAATTTGGTTCTGTCCTTACTTACAAATTCAGGGTCTTACGCACATTCTTTCGTTTCAAAAGATGTTGAGACCAAATTGGATTTCAAACCTTTTTGCCCCCATCGACATCGACATGTGTCCATTTACAAAACATACTCCCGCCAGTTTCCCTCCCATAATGCAGTCAAGTTACTCCGCCATGTACTTTACCCCAACAACCGTCTCCTTAAAACCCCTTTGCACCTCTAACTCCTTCCTCCCCATCCTCTTCTCCTCCATATACCTACATCTACATGTACAATATTAGCCAGTGCCGTCCAATCGCCGTTTCACAAAAAAGGAGACGGATTTACATAAGTACTTTGTACTTGTTTTCGAATCCTATATGTTTATCATGTTTGTATAACTGGAATATTATACCGATAATATAATAAAGTTTAAACTTTTAACTAAGCTACAGACCAGACGGTGGATATCAGGACATAATCACACAACCCTCATCAGAAGGTCCGAAAATTATCATAAAGGCGGGAAAATAGGCGTTACTTGATGATGTCACACTGAATCTAGATCCAAAGCCGATTTAAAACACAGTGAGACACTGTGGCGGGGTGTCACTTACTGTGACAAATACGGCCTTTAGCGACACGTTTCAGTAGAATACATGCTGAACAGAAAACAAGTAGAATTTCCCAACGGTTTCAATTATACATGGTTATGCGACACTTTATGCAAATTTCAACGAACGTAACAGAAACCTAGCAAGCACCAGAAAACAATTGCCCTGTAGTTTCCCAGCTGCCCGACCGTAGGAGCGATCTTCCAAATAGGTTACATTTCGCCTTTCTGTGCCCATCGTGAACGGATATTTGGGGATTTAATTATTAGTTTGTTTCAGCAAAACGACCAGTTTAGTTATAGTGGTCACAGTTTACTCTGCTATTATATCTTTTCCATGTTTTCTCGATTGACACCTCCAGAAGACAATTGGTTCTAATACTTAATAAAAGCCTCTGCCTGACAGGGAAGCTGTTCTATCCCCGTGACAGAGTTTTGGTATTTACGTGTCTCTATGTCAGTGGTTGGAACTTTTAGTGAGAAATGTTCTATCTCTCTTTATCACATAACTGTCTCATTTTACTGTGTCATACGGTCATGTTATAAATATGTTATTGCACACGTGTAATAAAACCTAAAGGTGCTGCGATTGGTTTAAACCGTGAAATCATATTCCTACGCCGCTACAGGTACTACTTTTATTGACTACATTTACTATTACTACTCTAAAAGAAAGTGCAATGCTAATGGTGTCATTATTATTTTCATTGAATCTAAAACTGCTCATTACTAAAAACTAATGACGAAAATAGTCTGGAACAGCTTTTCACTGCGTAGAACTACACTAACTGTTCAGAGTCAGCTAAGGGAATGGGCGTAACTGTACCCATTCAAGGAACGGGGTTATTGTACCCACTCAAGGAACGGGGTTATTGTACCCACTCAAGGAACGTTTTTTTTTTTACCCACTCAAGGAACGACGGTTATTGTTTTCTCAAGTGGTACTTGAATACGTCAGGTAAATAAGTGCAGGAAGTAAACCCATTTAGATGTTTATTACAAATTCTTTCTATGAAGATATCTGTTGGAAGAAACATGTATCTATATGTATCTAACCAGGTGATGACGTCACATGTGTCGGCACCCTCTATGATTTTAGCCTTGCTTAAGTCAGATTATTTAGAAATTAACAAAAAATATCTTAATCATACTAAATGTTAATACGATTTAATCCTGTTTTGTTTATGGGGTGTGATCCTAAATGGGTAATGATACAAATGTTTAGTTTTCTCATGTCCCATTGAAGTTATTACCACAAAAACCTCGACAGAACATGTCAAATTCTCAAGTAAACCCTGGGTATCACGTATTTCACTTATGAACAGTGAAACTTTTATTTAAATTATCAATATATTTTTAACAGCTACTTTACAACTGACCATATTTCAGCGTCAAATCCTGTTTTGTTGAAAATTATCTTGTACATTTCTTTCGATGTTTCGCTAATAATGTCTACAAGAATACAAGAAACTGTATTTTTTGTCGTATATATGTAACATGAAACTTTATTTTTGAAAAAATATTTTTACGACAGAAAATCCTTATATAACGGTGAAATTATACTGGAGAAATATTGGCGAATATAACGAAGTTTTTCTGTTAATGAAAACGCAATATTAGATTAGGACATTCAATTCCTATTTCAGTTTCACACAGAATGAAATCAGAGTTAGCGATAAATTTACCGGAACGGCATTATGAAGGCATCATATCCAGAGACGTTTGTCATGGTCTAGATTAAGGGGAGATAACTGGGAATGTAATGAATGGAGTGTTAACGAATCTTTAATAATCGTAAGTGATATTTATCCAGAAACAAAGTTTCACATCCCAGGAAAATATAACCTCATGTTTTTTTTTTAATGCGGGCGATTACATGACAAAACAAATGAAGATCTAGTGCCACTTGCAAAATCAGCGCTTGCAAGGGTTATACAATATGTTGAATAATTGAGTAAAGACAGGTAAATCTTAAATTATTTTCTTTATAAATGAAGTTCATTTACGCAATGACGATGCACGACTAGTTATTATGCGGATCGAGCTTAATTTCTCTTTCCTACCTGTAGAGAACAAGTGTGATAACATTGGTTTAACATTGATGGTGAGGTTAATGGGTTTAACATTGATGGCGATGTTATTGAGTTTAACATTGATGGCGATGTTATTGAGTTTAACATAGATGGCGAGGTTAATGAGTTCAGCGTTGATGCCGAGGTCAATGAGTTTAACATTGAAGGCGATGTTAATGGGTTTAACATTGATAGTGAGGTTAATGGGTTCAACATTGATGGCGAGGTTAATAGGTTTAACATTGATGCCGAGGTTAATGAGTTTAACAGTGAAGGCGAGGTTAATGGGTTTAACATTGAAGGGGAGGTTAATGAGTTTAACATTGAAGGCGAGGTTAATGGGTTTAACATTGATGGCGAGGTTAATGAGTTTAACATTGAAGGCGAGGCGATCGGTGTTCGTTGCAGTGATAAGTTGTGTGAAACGAGGATTGGAGGTCATGTTATCTAACGTTGGGAGGTAAAATGAATGGCGATGTCAGATACAGCCATTCCGGTTGATCGTATCCAAACTCCGAACGATAAATCTTTGCTACTATGTTTGTGTATGTGACAAAAGCCGTTTCCCTCATTAACAGCTTTTGACCTGACCCAATGTGTATACATTGCGTAGTTTATACCAAATAGATTATGTGTTTTAGGGTTGAGGCTAATTTTACTAAATTTTTTTGGACAGATTGTCGGTGAATTGAAAAACGTTATACGCTTTTGTATGCGTACTATTGGAGGTCATATGTAAATGTGATATTGCGATGGAAGGAAATTCGAAAATGCAAAAATAGGTGGTTAGGAATAGCTGTAAGAAAGTACCTGTTAGAGCGGTAAGAGGAAATGTGATATAAATTTTGGTCACCGTTTGCCTACTGTACTGTATAGTGTAATCAAGGAAGAGTAATGTGTATGTGTGCTGTGGTATCAGTTAATCTCCATGTTAATGGGGGTTATCTCCCTTGCTTTATTACAGTGTTATTATTCCGTATAGTTTTACTTTTTAAGTAACTTTAAACTCAATGAACGAA